GAATTTGCTGTGTGGGATCTTCCTGATGTCGGAACTACCTGCCCAGGTTGTGCCTGTGTTCCAGGGCGGGCAGCCGACGGAGAGTGCATCTGAAAACCATCAAAGCAACTCGGTGAGACTGCCACTTCTCATTTTATGTCTGATTATTTCTTAGACTTCAAATTGCAAAAGGTTTTGATTGGCAGTAGAAACTGCTCGCTGCAGGTTCATTTACAAAGCACACAGATTTAGGATTATTGGCACAGAAAGTGTTGGTGGGACTTAGGGTACTGAATAGTAATGGAATCTTTCTTATGTGGTATCATATGGAATGGGATGGAACGATGTGGAAGAGGGAGCTTGGGAATTTGTAAGTGAGGTCAGTTTCAATTTGAAAATGGAACTGGTTATCACTCAATGCTAAGTTTTTTTTTTTGTAGAGGTCAATGAGACATGGCCTGTTATTGCAGGTTAATTGGTTACGACTAATTTACTGGAGGGTTTTGCTATTTTTAAGCTTGGAAGTGAAGACAGGAATCCTGCCCCAATAGACTGTAACTGTTGTTTAAGATATTCTGATTGTTGTTTGTGGAACTTCTGCAATTCAAGCTTCTTGGATGTTGCTGCCCAGATATTGCATTGGGCCATGTTCAAACAAACAGAACTGTTTGCATAATGTGAGTGACAAATACAGAAATTGTTGGAAAAAGTCAGCAGTTCTGGCAGCATCTGTGGAGAAAGCTGCGTTAACGTTTTGAGTCCAGTGACCTTTCTTCAGAACTGATGGGAACTAGGAAAAGGTTAGTATATATGCTGAAGATAGGGTGGTGGGGTGAAGTAAATGATAAGTGTAGATGGAGCTCAGAGAAAGAGAAAAACAGTTGGGTGGACAAAGAAATGGGTCAAGGTCAACCTGGAAGAATGAATAACTGCTGATGGTGACCATTAGTGGCTGTCAATGAAATGTTTATGGTGGCAGCCCATGTGATGACAAGGCCTGATGTGTGAGGGTTGGGATAAGTACATGGTGGCATTGTAGTCAGTGGTTAGCAATATTGCCTCTCCGTGCTGGGGACCCAGGTTCAGTTCCACCCTCGGGTGACTGTGGAATTTGCACATTCTCCCCATCTCAGCACGCGTTTCCTCTGGGTCTCCAGGTCTTGTCATCACATGGGCTGCTACCACACACACAGACCCCATTAGCAGCTATTCATTTTCCCACACTGACCTTTACCCATCCCTTTGTCTGTCTAGCTGTTTTTTGTCTCTCTTTGGGCTCTCTCTCCAACTATTGTTCAACCCCCAATTCCATCCACTGGACCAGAAGCGTTAACTCTAATTTCTCTGAGCTTTTCCAGCAATTTGTTTTTGATTCTGATTTCCAGCATCTGCAGTTCGTTTTGGTTTCTCGCATAATATGAGCGACCAATTTGTGTGTAATTGTCTGACAAAGTTGTGGTTGTAAAGTGTATTTATGGAAAACAGTTTTCCATTGACTTGATGAGATCGGAATATGAAAGCCAAGGTATTTTTCTAAATGTGTAAAGAGCAGTTCTCACTAATTATGGTTCCCAACACTGGGCACTCTTAGGATTTAGGAAGAAGGTACAAAGGATGGGTGGGTGGGATGGATAAGGAGCTTGGAAACAGACAAATCGCTAGGCCTAGGATTTTTTCCCGTTGGTCTGTAGTAGCTGGGTTTGTCTTTCTACAATTATTTTAAACAAGTTTGCAATTCTCCAGTCCAGTATTACCAACCTCCTCCCCCTGTTACTTTTTCACTGTGGTCTGGGTTGCATCATCATCTTCAGTAACAACAGATGGGAAGTATTTTAGAAAATCATCTTCGAAATCGCCCGTAGGAAAACTTAAGTATTTGGGAAAAGTCAGCTTGGTTTTATCAGAGCTAAATCAGATTTTTTTGATGGTCAGACTGTCATCATTCCAGTCTGGAATCCTGTGGAATCGTAGCACACTCCAAAGGAATTGAAAACCCTGCTGAGTCATTCCCTACACCTGGGACCCTCAAAGTCTCCATTTAAGTCAAATAATTTGGAGGGTTCTGAAGAAATTAAGTAAATATTCCTCAAGAAAAGTTTGGACTATTAAATACGTAGTCTAACTTGTAAATAATTATTCAACAGAACCCATATTTAGCTCTCCCAAACCCCACCTACACCTTTCCCAGACCACTTACAGCCTCCCCAGACCCTGACCTGCTACCCCCTCTGACATGCTATCTAGCACCTACATTCTATCCACTGGGCACCCTTTCCCATGGCAACATACTCCTACCCACTCGGCATCCTAACAGCCTGGCACTGATTTGCGATCTTAGCATCCTACTCCCTACACAGCTGGCATCCTAGCTACCTGGCATCCTTCTCTCCACCACCTCCCCTCCCCCCACCCAGCAGCTGACTGCCTTTTCACAGCAATGTGGATTGCCTTTGTCTGACAGTTCCACTCTCGCCCCCTCCAATCTCTCGCTCTTGCCCCCCCGTCTTGTTCTCGCACACCCCCAACCCCATCTCTCACTCTTGCCCCCCCACCCACCCACCTGCTAGGGCCTTTCTTTTCATTTTCCTCTGATTTTAATTGGAATTCAAACTATTACATTTCCTTTTCATGTTCAAGCTACTTCATTTTCAATTTAATTTTAGTTCATTTCCAAAGTATCTGATGGCATTCCTGGCAATTGTAAATGCTATGACTGCCACAGTTATCTCCCCTTCCTTCACAGACACAGGCAACCCCAACTGCAGCTTGGTTGCCAATTCTGAAAGCTTTGCCTTACTCACTTTCTCTAAAATTCACAAAGTGACTTCTTCTACCCCAGGGAAACTCATAGTGACTGAAAGAGCCGTTACTACACAAGAGACACCCTATTCAAACCAACTGAATTCAACACCCAAAATAAAAGAACACGAAGACTCACCACTCCCTTTAGTTTAACAACCCTAAACACAACCTGGAATTAGCGATTACAGTCCTGACAAGCGCCCCCAATTTGTTATGGACGAGATAAAACTCCCTCAAAATATATTCAGAAGATGCTCTAGGCCCTGACATTTACTTCTTTATAAAGGTAAGTGTTAGATTAAATTCAATTGGTCAAACTACTCAAAAGTAAGCAAAACACACTTTATTCATACACTATGGTTTCAATACAACAAAATAAAGAAGAAATTGGAATAATTCAGCACTATTGGAAAACTTAAGAGAAAAGTAGATTAGTTAAGTAATAAACAGTAACTGTTCCAATATAGTAACATCGCATAAACATGCTAGGAGATAGAAAGGACTGCAGATGCTGTAAGTCAGAGTTGATAAAATGTGGAACTGGATGAGCACACCAGGTCAGACAGCATCTGAGGAGTAGGAAAGTTGACATTTCAGGTCTGGACCCTTCATCAGGACCTGATGCTCCTCCAGCTCCATGTTTCATCCACTCCCATAAATGCACCCTTGTTAAAGGCAAATTCAGTAAAACAGATTGTCTGACATGCAACTCTGGCAGCAAGAAGAGAGCCATCAGCTTTTAGCTGTAACGGGAGGAAAAACAGCATCCACATCCAGCTTCATGACCCTAGCCGCTGCTACTGAAAAGCTAAAACTCAAAACCCTGGTTCTGTGGGAGCTTGCTCTTCCCATTCAGGCTGTTCCTATTGTTCTGACGTTCTTAAAAAAAAACGAAGGCCTCACATGCTGTTTATGGGTTTTCAATAGACAACTCTCAACCTCTATCTTAAAATCTCTTTGAAAAATAAACCCAGGACAAAATACACCTCTTAAAGCCATTGTATCATCATACTCCATTTACAAGTTTGCTGATGATGCTACCGTACTGATCTCAAACAATGACAAGACAGACTGCTGAGTGGCATGATGTAAAGTCAACATTGTCTCCCTCAATGTCAGCAAAATGAAATTTCTGATCATCTACTTCAGGAAGCAGAGTGGAGGACACGCCCCTGCCTGCAACAGTGGTGAGGGTGGAGATAGTTGAGAGCTTTGAGTTCCTAGGAGTAAATATCACAAAGCTGTCTATTTCTTTCCTGTATTCTGTCTTGTTGTTTGAGATCCGACCCACTACGATGGTGTCATAAGCAGACTTGTAAATGGAGTTAGAGAATTTGGGGTGAGTATGCAGCCTTGCAGGGTACCGGTCTGCATCAGTGGTGCTGAGATGGCAAAGAGCTTCAAGTTCCGAGGAGTAAATAGCTCAAACAATCTGACCTGGCCTGTCCACGTTGACCATATAGACAAGAAAGTACACCAACGCCTCTACTACCTCAGAAGGCTAAGGAAATTCGGCACGTCCACGATGATGCTTACCAATTTTTATAGATGCACCATAGAAAGCAGACTATCCGGTTACATCACATGGCAGCTGCTGTGCCCAAGACTGCAAGAAATTAAAGTTGAGAATGCAACGCAGCCCAGCCCCTCATGAAATCCAGCCATCCTTCCACTGACTCCGTTTACGTTTCCTGCTGCGTTGGGAAAGCAGCCAGCATAATCCCACCTTCTTCCATCGGGCAGAAGATACAAATGTTTGAAGACGCATACCGAATGATTGAAGAACAGCTTCTCTCCTGCTGTTTATCAGACTTATGGATGGACCTGTCATATTTTCTTAATCTAGCTCTGCACCTTGTCTGCAGCTGTAACAATACAATCTGAATTCTGCTTTATTACCGTGATGTACTTTTGTAAGATATGATGTGCCTGGTTAACATGCAAAACAATACTTTTCACTGTGTCTCGTTCTTGTGACAATAATAAATCAAACCGGCTAGGTTGAGTTAGTGAACAAAAATCTGGCATATGGAGTCTAGTTGGGGGAAATATGAAGATTTCACATTGGCAGGAAGAACTTAAAAAAAGCAAAGAATTGTAGGATCTTGATGTGCAGAGGGATTTGAGTCTTCTGGTGCATGAGCCACCAAAAGTCGGTATGTAGGCACAGTAGGTCATCAGGAAGGCTAATGGGATGCTATCCTTTCTCACGAGATAAATAAAGGTAAGGATAGTATGCTTCAGTCATACAGGGCATTGGTGCAACCACATCTAGAATACCACGTGCAGTATTGGTCTCCTTAGTTAAATATGGATGTAAATACGTTGGAG